CGCCCCACATAGTCCAACACAGTCATATTCAAATTTGCCGCCATGGAGGATCAAGTGAACCATACCCGCCGAGACCTCTCGAATAGCGTCAAGTTAAGAGTAATCGAACACCTCAAAACGTACCTCAATGGAGAAAATCTCAAGCGCGGGGCCTTCAAACGCACAGCTGAGTTGCTCGCTCTCCAACCCACACGGTCGCATCAGCCTGGCGCAAGTTTTGGAGGACAGGCGCCACCAAGTCCAACAAGTCTGGTCGAGTTGGACCGAGGACTTGAGCACGGTGGCGACAACAAATTTGCTCTTCCCCATCTCAAGAAGGATGCATTGAGATACGCTGGTCTTCTTATGCCCAATGTGACTTTCCCTGTGTCTTTGCTTCTCTAGAGAATATTAACCAATGAATATCAGTGAACCTTTTGAAGCACCAATGATTTTCATTTCGTAATAGTAATGTGGAAAAAGTGTGTTTTCCTTAGCAACGATAAATGTGGAACAGAGGAAGTAGAACGAGAAAGGAATTTTTGACTAAGAGTGTCGTTTGGTTGTGACATATCACCCACCTAGAACGACATAGGTTATACGGTATTGCGTTGTTTGATGAATTGAGCTTCAGGAGCCACCATTTTTGCAAGGGAAACAACACCCCAAGGAGTACATAAATTGGGTGGTTACGCGATACAGATCGAAACTGTCGCATAGACCCCGGTCAGTAACCACACAGTGAGCGACGGAACAATGTACACCGTGGTACTTCGCCACAATCTCATGATATTAATATTGACTCATATACCCTGCATGAGAAATTGCTGGTTGACATACATCTTCACGACCTACAGTTTGAAAATACATTATAGAAGCACCTCGACGTTTTTAACTTTTTAAGTATCTGTGAAGATAGCTGTTAAAGCTGATGCATTTTCCTGGCTGTCAGGTTCTCCATCAGCATGATACAAACGGATTTGGGATGATGCGATTTCTGTGAAGAGAAATGTGCAATTTTCATAATTTGGGTTGAAAAGAATATATAGACTTCCTTCGTTTTCATGACTAATTAATTATCATGACCGTTCTGACAAGAAATCACACCACCAATATCATGGCGTATGATTGGTAGAAATAAATGCAATTTATGGACTTATCAAATCGCGTTTGGTTGTGGTTTGCTTTGGCGAAGAAGGGTCAGTATCGCTGTGACGGACTTGGGGCGACCGTACTTCGAGTAGATTGCGCCTATGGCCGTGTCGCTAGTGTGGCCCCGCATCAGCAAATTGAAAGGTCACTTAGTTAAGTGTAATGAATATCTTTCTCTACTGAGGTGTATTTAAATTCATAACGTTTCTAAATGGCGCGCATAAATTCTCTTGATTATAGCCAATCAAGTTGGAGTAAGTTGGGTAAATTAATAAATTTGCTTTTTCTGCCTCCATGCATTTCAGGATGCAAACATGTCGGCTTTTTCAGGGGTTCACTGCACAGCCTTTGCTTGATTCGGACGCTTTGGGGGTGGGGGTTGAAAAGACAGTAGTCATCTGGGGACGAGATGCCACGTGACTATGGTCTTGATACCCTTTACCATGCGTTTCCCCCTGTGTAATCCTAATATCAAGTACATGTTAGCCACGATTACGCGACAAGAGTACCTCTAGTTAGGATGCTGTTGTTACGGTCGTTTTCTTCGAAGGCGCCTGTTCCAACACCCATGATATGTCGAGGACTCTGGCTTTGCACAACAAATCGTGAGACTAGGAGTGCATGAGTGGAACGAATCCAATGCACGATTGTGCCAATATCTATACTTGGCTGTACTATGTACCTCTTGGCAAAGACATGTTGAGAATTGTATTGGACTCCAAAAGCGTTGAATTCAGTCGAAAAAGTATTACTATTCAATAATTTAAGCGCTTCATTTAGGAGAATTAAACAAGCTTTCAAGGTACATTTTTCCCCAAGTCGACAGCTCAAATGAATTGATTTCTCTTCATACGTCGCTGTGCCATTCTTGCCGGAGAAGAGTTGCTTCTTGCTTTGGTCTAATCGGGGGCGAGCCACAGCCGCCAAATGACCTAGGTGGCGAATTCCATAGATTCATGGTCCCTTTGGCAACCTCTGAACCGTCGTAAAGGTAAAATCGTTTCTTAATTCTCGTTATGTAGAATCACTTCTCAAAAATGCACATAGTTATGCATACTACTCTGTTCCACAAAATTTGTCATGTTGTACTTTTGATTGGTGGCATTTTTCTAATAATATTCCAGCCATTTTGGTTGTTGAGATATTGCGCGGCAAAACTTCCGGTTCATGGACAGCTATTACAAATTGACCCGCCAGTACTTCATTTCACAATTCATCGGATACGCAATACGTCCTACACACACCTATCGCCACTACATGCCTCCTCGTTCATGGCGGTGAACCGCTGATGCTCCTGTCGCCGCCCGGGACCTCGCGGACGTGCGCAAGCACCTGAGCCTCGCCCATCGCTGCATGGCCTACGAAACGCTGCTTAACGTCGCCGTTGATGGTGTGCTACCACATGGTGCTCTCACCGAGCTTGCACAGATGTTTCGCTGACATCCGCGAACGATAACACGTCTGTGGACGCAAGCGCGTCTCTCGCCCCGCGACGGCTACCGTGTCGCCGAAGTTGCCACAAAAACCAAAGGTAATTCTCTCAAACCTGATATATATTGGTTTACGCAAATTATTAATATAAGAGGATGTACTTTTCTAGGGAATTCTGGACGCCATGCGCTCAGAAAAAGCGACGAAATTGAAGCTGCCATCCGAAACGCGCCGCAAATGCAACGGTAGACCTTGCGCTCTCTGTCGTAACTCTTCAAAAAGGTATGGAATTGTCCATTGAAATACATGGCTGCAACGAGTATAAGCTTCCTCACATGAAGAAGGGCGTTCTCATTGCAGAATTGTCATCGTATAATATCGAGTTTGACGCCTCGTCCTACGAAGCGCTTTGGTTCATTTGAATAGCCGACTTGGTGAGGAGGTTCACCTCGATGCCATGGTCAATTCTCTTGAATGAGACATAAAAAAATACAATAAATTTTTTGGAGCTGTTATGTTGTTTTGAAGTGGCATACAAAAATCAAGTCGTTTCAATTGCCCTGTAGTGTATACTTTAATCAAGTGAATAACTACCTGGCAGTTTTTGTGGAACAGAGTAGTAGT